CCTCACTCCTGCCGCTCCTGCCACCCGGACGTGACCCAGGAACAGCTGTCTGGGGAGGGACAGCAGGCGGGGCAGCGGCCAGGCCCGCCTTCGCTCCACCACCTTCAAGGGTTTGATGACGCTGCGGACCCCTAGAATAGGGGCTGCTGTACCCCTGACTCACAAGATGCCTGTGCAGCCTCACCCACCTGAAGGTCCAGCAGGGATTTAGGGGGAACCGGCTCCTCCTTCAGTAGAACTTGATCCCAGCGTGTATTGGAGAAGTGATTTCCGGCGTGGATGTCAGGTGTACCCCAATACGATGCTGGTCAATAACATTTCTAGTGCCCTGGCTGACATCCATGCCAGCATCCAGACCATCCCTTCTTGTTCACTTAGAAGTCTTATGATGAACACCAGTTCCTACATAGATGTCTCTTTGCCTGGGCACTAGAAATAGCAGCTCTATAGTCACATTCTCCTCAAACTAATGCTTTGCAATGCAGTGTGTGGCCTGTCCCGTGGCAGGGTTGGGGATCTACCCTTTCTGCGCTTTCTGCGCTTTCCTGTGGCCTCCAGGATCACAGGGTCAGGAGAAGACAAGGTCACCCCTTGGTATGTAAGAGTTCTCCAGAAGGCCACATGGAAGCCAACTTCAGGGTAAAGGGGACAAGTCCAGATGGGAGGAGACTTGACTTGGTGGTGAACACACAATATAATATATAGATGATGTATTAGGGAATTTAAAAAAAATTAAAATGCAAAAAAATCACCAATTGTTTAAGCATTGTGGTTGGGGGAGATCAGAGGTGGGTGAGAGTGATGGAAATAGAGGCTTGGCTTCAAGAATGCCCTGACAGTTCCATGCACGCAGTCAGACGGAACTCCCTGGGAATACAGGCCTGGCCCGCCTGCCTGAGTGGGTATCTGCCCAGTGCAGGGAGTGGCAGCCCACGCCCTCGGAGCCTTGCTCTGAACCTGTTTCCAGAGCAAGAGGAATATACCATGGACCCACCCCTCGCAGCTGCTGTAGCACCATGTCCAGCCACACGTGGAATGCCCCCCACAACCTTCTTGCTGATGCCAAAGAGCCGTCCTGCGTGTGCACGCCCAGCAGTGCCATCTGGACGCTGGTTCTGCCCTGTCCTGAGGCCATCTGTCCAAATAAAGAGCGTGTCCAATCCTGTCCGTGGCATTGACAAGGCAGCCACGGCAACCCGTTCCAGGCCGCACCTGTTCCTCACCGCCTGCCCGAGGACAGCGGGTGACACCAGGCAGCCTGGGAGACTCGGCTAGGCTGGAATGACAAAGCAAGGCCTAAAACTAAAGATATTTTGGAATACTAGGTACATGGAATGGGACCTCTTCATTTCTAAAATTTAAAAATCTGACCAAGGGAAGCATTATAAATTCACTTTAACTCAGTAAATGGCTATACGCATGGTTAGGTATTAAATGTGGTACAGAAAAAAATTTGGCTGAGCAACAATCCTAGTGATTATTTCATATTTTCTTCATCTTTGTATAACATAGCATGTAAATTTCTATCTTCAACTTTGAGAAAAAATAAGTTAACTTTCATGCTATCTGGGAATGGTAATAACAGAGAATTGAAATATTTTAAAAATTCTTCTGTCAATAATTACGCAAGTTTAAGAATGATTTACTGGCCCACAGCTGTTTCAAAGTTTGTGTTTTGTGATGGAAATTGCAACTATAAAGTAAACTTTAGTTACTCCCCAGTACACCATTTTTCTGTCTGAACTGGTAAGATAAACAGTAATATTGTACCTCATCCAAGAGAAGGCCTCCCGCTGTTCTTGGGAAACCAGCAGTCCTACATAAACAATAAGGAATTGGGCCAGGAAGGAAATGAAATTCTTAAAGGAAGTGCCCTCATAATTGTAGTTCGGTGGCTTGCAGAATGGGCTCCCAGAACACCTCTGGACTCCGGGGTCTTTGCATGAGGATCTCAGCCCCATACCCACATACAACGAAAGATTCACTGAAAATGAAAATACACTGTCACAGGCACATGAATACATATCAAATGCCTCTGCAGGGTTTTTGGCCAACTGTAATTCTTTTTTAAAAATTGTATTAAAGTCTAGTTGGTACACAATATTATATTAGTTTCAGGTGTACAATATAGTGATTCCACAGTTATATACCTTATGAAGTGATCACCCTGAAAAGTCTAGTTGGATATACTACTTTTTCACACAGTTATCAAATGGCTAAATTGTTTTCAAAAACACTAAACATAAACACACACACACACACACACACACACACACACTTCCCTAAGACCATACTCAAGACCAGAACATTTCTGTGTTTAAATCATTTGTGCTACCCTAGTTGGTTTGGCTTAGTGGATAGAGTGTCAGCCTGTAGACTGAAGGGTTTGGTTCCTATCAAGGGTACATGCCCAGATTGTGGGTTCTATCCCCAGTAGGGGGTGTGCAGGAGGCAGCTGATCAATGATTCTCTCTCATCATTGATGTTTCCATCTCTCTTTCCCTCTCCCTTCCTCTCTGAAATCAATAAAAATATATTTTAAAAAATTAATAAGTAAATAAATTGTGCTGCCCATGTGTTAGTACTAACCTATTTCTATTACACATTACCTTTATTGAGAAAGATTCAAAAAGAAAATCAACGAATGAGAAGAAAGAAATATTTACATATTTTAGCAGGGAGCTGTTATTTCTGGGAAGACCAGGGAACATGTGTACCTTAACTAGACCTTTGAGTGAAATGAGGGTAGAATGTGGTTGGGAGAGAAAAAACAGGTAGTAAAGAAGATCCCAAGTCATAAGGAGCTCGGCCTTAAGGAATTATGAATTAAAGCAGGGAAACGACATGCCAGATACAAAGACCACATATTGTGACTCCACTTATATAAAGTGTCCAGAAAAGGCCACCTATAGAGACAGAAAGTCGATTAGTGCTCCCTGGGGGTTGGGGGGGGGGGGAGAGGAGAGGATGAGGTTTCTTGGTGGGCTAATAAAAATATCCCAGAATCAGATTCTGATGATATTTGAACTACTCTGTAAATGTATCGAAATACTTTAAAATGGCAAATTTTATAATATGTGAATTGTATCTTAATTATATCTTAGTTTAAATGGGCAAATCTGGGCTCTTGATACAGGCCCTTGAAGACCAGTGAAGAATAGAGTTGAAATGAAATAAGTTAAACAGGCGCTTGACCTCACAGAGTTTGTTTTTGAGCTCCCGGAGCAGAGGATCCATATCTGACCATTCCGTTTATCCCCTCCGCAGAATTAAGCACGATATTATGTAAAATGCGTGCTTAAAGAAGCTATTAGATTACATCATGGCCAGCCTCCTGCACTGTCTGCCATGGTGATAAATAAAGACAAGCTCTCCTCCCACTCCTTCCCTTCGCCGTCACTGCGTTCTCTTGTAGAAACACCCTGTCCTCTGTCTAATGTGACAGCATAGCGTGGTCACGAAAAGCTCCGTCTAAGTCACACTGACATTGGTCTAATTTTCTAGAATTGTCATCTTCACAAACAACATTGAGCTCATGTTTTCAAGTTAGTGTTCTGGCTTTTACTTCCTAATTAAATGAAAGGGGCTTAAAATTCACAAGACTTGACTATTCAGTTATTTTTTATTTGTACTATGATCATTTCGGCAGGAATTGGAAAGACTAGTTGGAAAGCTGACTAAAATACCTGTAGGTTTTGCAGTGAGGAGGGTTTGTTTAGATAATGCACAGATCACACTGAGAAAACCGAATGCGGACATTGTAGGCGATGCTTCTCTCCCGCAGGCAATCGGGCATGAGAGCATCATGATGCGGCTGCCCTTGTCAGAGCACACAGAGGACTTCACCTGTGTCCTAAGGTTACAAAGACAGGAAATTAATAGGGTGAATATGTTCAAAGGCTCTCAGAGCACAGATTCCCCTCAACTGTCTCTTTCATATGGTGTGGACACAATGAGCCAAGACTGCCATGCTGATTAGCTGTGTCCGCACATGGAAAATGCCAAGTCCCTAGAAAAGTGTCTGAGGCACAGGTAGAACTTAGACAGATTACACATGAATATAATTGTATTCCTACTGCTGGAGGCCTGATACCTGAAACTATAAATGGCCAATATATAATACAGAGAAAACCCAGGGCTAGAAAGCACACCCATAGCACTTACATACCTGCAGCAATATATGAGCTCCCGCCGGCCTTATAGAGAATGTGGCTGGCGAAAGGGGCTGCACAGATGATCAGGAAACTTGCGGTCACGACAGCGACTACCCCCAGGAGCATGAAGACAGCCCAGAAACCACGGTAAACTGAAGATCCCAGGAGAAAAGGAGAAAAGAAAAACACACTTAGACTGTGAACGCACAGATTGTGGCGGGCAAGTTTCTTGCCTCTTCATTTTTCTAATTGCAGCCATAGCACTGCCAGGTGGGACCAGGCTGTGGATCCTGGCTTTTCTTTAAGTGGAAACCTCACCAGGTGACTTTGGACTCAGTGAAGTCAGCCTTAACTCAACTCATGCTCAGGGTGTGCACCACACACATGCTTAGTAGACTTTGGGAGCTCAGTTTCCTGACCAGGTGTTCTGCTTTAGAAGTGGGAACACCCTAAGTTCTAAAAAGTTCTCTTGAGTGAGTACCCATTGGGTCACCTATAGGTGCTTCAGACCAAGTGTACAAAAGACATGAAAGGAATTTGCGTGTATAAACACCACCAGTTACATCTTGCTAAGATAATTTTTATAATAAAAATAACAAGCAAAGTCAAAAAGAAAACTTTTGTAAACAGATTGAGATTTTAAATTAGATATATCTAAGATTTATTACTTTCTATCAATCTTTGTTCTTAAAAAGGTTCAAAATGAGAAGTTATAGTGATCTTTTATTTAAGGACCAGCAAGGTTGAATTAATGGATACAGCTGGTAGAAAATAGATTGTGGTTTTGGTGATATGTTCATAGTAATCAAATAAAGAGGAATCCTAATGATCAATTTTGAATGGAATAATTACCAATCTGTTAAACAAATGTATCATTTCCCAAAGGCTAAAACACAAAAATAAATTCCTTTTGGTGTAAACAAGGGAAAGCTCTGTGAATCATATTAAAATTATAATTTGTATGCAAACATAAAAACATTATAATGAAGCAAAGAATGTTTTTTCTCAACAAGCCCACCTGGCAAAGAAAAACATATGTCAATCAACTGGAATCTTAGAGAAAAATGCATGGAAAGATGGGAATTTGAAGAGTCATGCAGCTAAATGGGAAAAGAAGGCTGAGGTTTTTGTGTGAATAACTCAGTCTTGAAGGCAGGAATAACAAGTGGAATTTACCTCAAAACCAATGCTGGTGATTTTTGTTCACTTTATGTGCCTCATCATATCACATGGCAGGTTCCGTGGAAAGTGTGAAGGGTAAAAACATTAATGAGAGGAGCCCATTCTGCCCCTCCCCTGATCACACTAAAACCGGACAATCATGGCAAAGACCTAGCTGAGGACTCCAGAAAGCAAACGATAGCAAGTGGTATAAGGAAGGAATTCGAATCTGTAGCTGAGGTCAACTCAGCTGCAAAGACTCGCCCGAATTTTTCCTTTTTTTCTCCTTCTGAACTTGGCCTGGAGGTGAGATAAGTTGGGAACTTTGTAAAAGGTGCAAACAGGAAAAAAATACCCTAGTTAAGTCATCATTCTGCTTATAAGAAGCAGAATGAAGGGCCCCTACAGGCCAAAGTATAGGGAAAATGCCCATGTCCACTTATCTCCTTGTGTTCTCTCAGTCCTGCCTCAAGATTAAATCTGCACTGCTTCCTCAGTGGAGTCATGGACATTTATGATCCCAAATGATGATTCAATCCTCCAGATAGTTTACTTTCACATCTATTGTGCAAAAAGTGGGGGGATCATGGTATGTGTTTTCTCTTTTCCCTCCTGCTTTGCACTGTGGTGTAACTACATGAAACTGTGCCACAGTAAAGGAGGCCAAAACTCTGAAAGAGCCCAGACTTTCTTGTCAAAAAAACTGGGTAAGGGAGTCCTAGAAGCCAGAAGATGTGGGGACAATCCCACAGACATAAGAGAACTGAGATGAGAATCTCTAAGTCTGTGTTTGAAGCTACTCAAGTAATGAGCTCACACCTCAAGTTACCCATATGTGGAAAATGCCCAAAGAAGTATAACGAAGCTTTAAGAACTGAATTACAGTTCTTGGGTGACAAAGTCACCCAAGCACCAGAGCTAGCCCTGAGGGGTGCATGCCCTCTTGACCTATATAGCATAAAAATAACTGAAAATTGAATTGACATTGAAACTAGCATCATAGAAGAAATGAACAGACCATGCAGGTCGATTGCCTATTCAAACAACAAATCAATATTTGCCAGAGAATTTTAACAGTATGCCTAGTCTGACAGTGTAATTTTCAAAAGTCCAAACACAGTCCAAAATTACATGATATACTAACAACCATGAAAATTTGACCAATCCTCAAAGGAAGAAGCAATCAGCAGATGCCAACCCAAAGCTTCAGGTGTGTGAATTAGTGGACAGACTTTAAAATAGCTATTGGAACCACTTTCTATAAGCTAAAGTGAACACTCTCGAAATGAACAAAAAGGTAGAAATTCTTAGCAGATAAATAGAGTCTATGAAAAAGAACTAAGTTGAATTTTAGAATTGAAAAATAAAATATCTGTAATTAAATATCCATTATGCAAGCTCCAGGGCTGAATGGAGATGAGAGAGGAAAGAGCAGGTGAACTTGAAGAATGAGCAATATAAATTATCCAACCTGAACAACAGAAAGAAAAGAGATTGAAAACAAAAATGACTAGATAGAGTTTCAGAGAATTGTGGGACCATATCAAATGATCTCATATTTGTGTCATGGAGTCCCTAAAGCAGAGGCAAAAGATGTCAGTGCAAAAAGAATATTTAAAAAAAGAATCCCTAAAACTTTCCAAATTTGGTGAAAAATAAATTTACAGGTTCAAGAAACTCAACAAATTCCAAAGAGGATAAATTAAAAAAACCAGTGATCCCACTTCTAGGAATATATCCCAAGAAATCAGAAACACCAATCACTAAGAATATATGCATCCCTATGTTCATAGCAGCACAATTTACCATAGCTAAGATTTGGAAAGAGCCTAAGTGCCCATCAGCAGATGAGTGGATTAGAAAACTATGGTACATCTACACAATGGAATACTACGCTGCTGTAAAAAAGAAGGAATTCTTACCATTTGCAACAGCATGGATGGAACTGGAGAGCATTATGCTAAGTAAAATAAGCCAGTCAATGAAAGAAAAATGCCACATGATCTCAGTCATTTATGGATAATAAATACCATTATAAAATGATGAACAAAAATAGATACAGAGGCAGAGCAGCATCGAACAGACTGTCAAACTACAGCGGGAAGGCCAGGGAGGGTTGCGGGGTGGTAAGAGATCAACCGAAGGACTTGTATGCATGTATATAAGCATAACCAATGGACACAAGACACTGGGGGGGGGGGGTAGGAGAGGCTAGGGGAAGGTCAAGGGGGGAAAAAGGAAACATATGTACTACTCTTTGTAATATTTTAAGCAATAAAACAAAATAAAATAAAATAAATTCAGCCCAGAAACATCAGAAAATTACTGAAAACCATGGACAAAGAAAAAGTCTTGAAAGCAGCAAGACTGGGGGTGAGATGGGGATGCCAATATTAAATGTATGGACCAACAGTCCCAAGGACTGAAAGTGTCCCTGAGAAAGGGTGGCAGCCAGGAGACATCTTTAAGATGCCAGAAGAAAAGACCTATCAACCTAAAAGTCTGCTTCTAGTAAAAACGCCTTTGAGTGATGAAAGAGAAAGAAAGTCATTTCTCAAGTAGGAAAATGGGATTTATCACAGCAGACCTGCTCTCCAAAGATGTGTGAAAGGAATTTCTTTAGGCTGAAGGGAAATGGCACCAGAGTTTACTTGAAACTTCCAGAATGAAGTAAGCGATAACAGAAAAGGTGAGTATCTGCATAAATATTTTCCTCATCTTAATTTATTTAAAATATATTGACCTTTGAAATATAAAAATACACTGTCAGCATAACACAGGAAAGAAATATAGGTTTGGAATCAGAGTAATATTGTGTTTGCCATTTATACATGTATGTAACCTTGAACTAGCCAGGTCCAAAAGAACCATGAAGCCAGGGTCACAAGCAAGCAGGAGAGAGGGATTATGAATCAGGCTACAGAGAAGACAGAAAAAGCAGAGAGACTGTAAGAAGGAGAGAAAACACCTGGAGAAGGAGACAGACAGAGCCAGACAGAAAGAGGGATAAATGTTCCCCAGAGCTGCTGTCGCCGCTGACAATGCTAGCTCCTGTCTTTTCATTTGCTCTAACAAAATAGCCTGGCTTTTCCTTCTGTTCCCTGGAAAAGGCAGGAACAACGGATTTGTGTTTAAGGGAAAGGGGATCTGGCTGTCTGAAGACACAGAAATAGCTTCCAAGTGAGAGTCCTTATTGCGGTCACCAACAGCATGCTTTTCTTTCCTGCCTGTGCTTCAGCATTCAAAGTTGCTCAACTTCAAGACTATTTCGAAATGTCTTGGAACATCCTGTTTCTTAGCTAATGATATCACCTAGTTTGCATATGTGGCACACTTTGATTCCAGAATTAAATGCTCAATTACAATGAAGAATCATCATGTGGAATTGAGTAGAGTCCTTTCACTGGGTGAAGTAAAACTGAGGCCTTCAGAGAATTTTCCACATGAAGAGGATTATATGATATTGGAGCCTCTCCCCTTACTAATTTTTACTTTGATGGAGATCAGTTTTCTAATATAGAAAACAATATTATTCACCTAAGTTTATAGTAAGGATTGAGGAAATATATAAAAAGTAGCATGCAGTAAGACTTCAAATATGTTTGCTGTTATTATTACATGTCTGGTATTATTACGTATCTGTTATTATTACATATCTGCAGTTGGCACTTAAAAAATCTATCTACTAATCTCATGGAGCTGGAATGGGAACAAGCTTTCAGTACTAATATATAGAACTGTAAATTTCAGTGGGAAGGATGTTTTTGTTTGGTTAGGATGTTTTTGTGGTTTATATTTTTAAGATTCCTAGGTCTTAAATGTGTCTCAGAGAACACTTAGTCTGTTTCCTTGTTCGTTATATGAGCCATTAAAACAGAAAAGCTTTCTCTTTGAAAGTTTGGACTGTGCCAAGTGAAAACATATCTAAAATCCATCTGTGCTATTAAACACAAGTCAATGCTTACCTTGAGCAATATTGAATTTCTATTAGTTCCTATTAGAACAGGAAGCAAGATTTATAATGTAAATGGGTTTACATGTACTCTATATCATCACAGTTTGGATTAATCAAAAGAAAGTCTCATTTGAATCTGTGGAAGGCAAGAATTAATGGCTATTTCCAAAGAAATGAAGTTCTGTTGATTCTAGATAAAGTGGTGGTGACTTGACTTAACAAAGTGTTCCTTGGTCAAGTGTGTAAACACAGAGAAAAAAGGCACCTACCAGGAAGAGCTGCTGGTGGATAACTGGGCTCAAATTTTAAAAAACAGAGCCCAGCAGCCATTTCTGCACAGAGGCCTCTCAGGCAAGGTGCACCTCATGGAAAAGCCTGTGCTGAACTGCCTGGGCTGACCAGCAGACCTTGAGCGAGGGATGAATGATTACTCTAACACACTCACTGTGAAAGAGAGGGCTAAGGGACTGCCTGGCTAAAGGAACCAGACAGCCTCTAGTGCAGGGGTCCTCAAACTTTTTAAACAGGGGGCCAGTTCACTGTCCCTCAGACCGTTGGAGGGCCGGTCTATAGTTTAAAAAAAAAACTATGAACAAATTCCTATGCACACAGCACATATCTTATTTTGAAGTAAAAAAACAAAACGGGAACAAATACAATATTTGTATTTGCATGTGGCCTGCAGGCCATAGTTTGAGGACCCCTGCTCTAGTGCCTGACTAGTTAGGCTTTTATTGTAACAGCACTTTGAGATAAAGTTTATCTTTTAGATACAATCGGTAGGGTAAGTAATATTGTGAGGACACATGTGTTTTCAGTGTCTTTTAAGCAAGGACACCCAAAGATTAAGCATAAGGATTCCAGTAAACACTGAGGGGTCTGCATGTGCACAGACTTGTTTGGAAAGATCAAGGAATAATTAAGGGCCCGCCTTTGGCACATCCCTTTTCTCGGAATGTCCTCCTTACAAACTTTCCAACTAAGTCTCCTGTGCTCCCCAACACTGAACAGCCTGACTGTCCTGTGTTTCTGTCATCTGAGCCAGCACTAATAAAGGTTTCCTACAATCCTATTTCAACCAATAGGATTGAGTCTTTCCCCACCAATCAGAGTTGCACAACCCTGGCCAATCAGAGTGGTTCTATTCTGACCCAGTGCCTTTTGGACCAATCAAACTTGAGGATTTGGAGTCCTCATTTGCATGAGGACAGACCAATCAAGGACCAGGGACAGGGACTTTAGTCCACATAAACTGCCTTTCCTCTGGCTTTAGGAGTACACTTTCCCTTTTCACTTAAGACTAAAGAGTGTGGTTCCGTGGCTGAGCTGAAACACTAAAGATGCCTCAGCAGAGCAGAGCTGTCTAGAGGGAGAGGGCCTGGCCCCAGGACTGCCTCACAGCTGTGCTGTATCAAAATTGAGCTGTTCTGCACTGAATAAGGCTTCCTTCTTTACAGCACCCCAGATTGGAGGTTCCTGTTGGTGTTGAATTGGCACCAATGACCATAGATTGACAAGTGTAATGAGGAGGATGACTAGTAATTAGTCAAACAACAGATGCTATAGAAATGGTTCTCCCAGTGTCCTCAGTTTATTTTCCTGAGTAAATTTTTAACCTTACAGTATTACTTTTACCAATTTGCTTAGTAATTTCATTCTAATAGATCTAGAATCATCAGCTCAGGGTATGCTGAAATTTCCTAACAATATATTCCATGTAAATATTTCATTTCATATTATTACAATATTTTCACTTCTATGAAGTATTTTCTATTTTTCACTTGAGGACTATCCTGCTGGTTTTCTTCAGTAGAAAAAGACATGAAGTCATTGAGATGGTCTAGTTTGTTAAGTACGAGTGTATATAGAATGCAAAGCTATGTTCCTGACGTCTCCGTTTTTTGTTTGTTTTTTTAATCCTCATCCAAAGATGTTTATTGACTTTTTTAAAGAGAGAAGGAGAGTGAGAGAGAGAGTGAAAAGTGGATGGGAGAAAGAAACATTGATTGGTCGCCTCCTTACACACACTGACCAGGGATCTAACCCGCAACAACCTAGGTACGTGCCCCAACTGGAATGTAGCCCACAACCTTTCGGTGTGCAGGACAATGCTCAATCAACTGAGCCACCCAGCCAGGGCCTGATGTCATAGTTTTATTTATAAAAAGTACATTACATATAGAGTATTAACTTCATTGAAAATTCAAATATCCGATTCAAATATATATCAAAGGAACTCATATCTGGGGTATATCTAAAAGGTTAACTTCCAAAGAGGCATAAATAGGACATGTAGGGAGACATCCATTAAAAATCCTTCAGGCAGGAAACATAAAAACCATCCAAGCCCAGCTCTTGTGGCTCAGCGGTTGAGCATCGACCTATGAACCAGATCATGGTTTGATTCCCTGTCAGGGCACATGCCCGGGTTGTGAGCTCAATCCCCAGTATGGGGGTGTGCAGGAGGCAGTTGGTCAATGATTCTCTCTCATCAGTGATGTTTCTATCTCTCTCTCTCTCCCTCTCCCTTCCTCTCTGAAAACAATAAAATATGGATATTTAAAAATCATCCAAACCTTCAGGACAGTGGACGCCATGAAATAGAGTGGACTAGTAATTATGCACATTAATATGTGCGCCTGAGTGTGTGTGCTTTTGTGCCTGTGTGCAGACCAAGATGGAAAGCTAATGCCAGAATTGGCATGTTCTTAGTTTCATGTAAAGGGTTAGAAAAATAAAGCCCTACCATATTTATTTTTCCAGAGGAATGTAATAAACAAGCAGACACTAAGACCTCATTAATGTAGACAGTGGCAAAAGCAGCGGGAGTTTTAGCTGTGGATTGTTTGAGAGTAAGTTCCATTCCCAACCATTCGCATGCAGACAATAGCTCCAACTAGTGTGTCTCCAGGGATAGGGCAGGCCGCCAGCTTGCTTGAGCCTTGGGCGCACTGCTGATGCCTGAAGCCACCTAACTTAGCAGATACACCTCCAGTCTCTCTGGGTGCCAGGAACAACACTGCCACGTCAGATACACACAGCCTGGCCCTCAGAAGTCAGTCCAGTGAGGGAAAGCAGCCGTTTAACCCTGGATGTCAGGTGCCCTGGCAGAGGAACGCAGAGGAGCCTTAGCCCAAGGCTGCAGCACAGAGGCCAGGCCTGGGGCTGGGAGGGCGGAGCTGGGCTTACCCCGCCTCGCCTCACCTCCCCGTGCACTGAGCTGGAGGAGATGGCATCCCAGCACAGGACCCGGGAAGCGAAAGTGGTCCCTGCAGCTGTTCCCAGGTCGGTGAGGGGAATGGGGAACCTAGACAGGTAGTCAAGGCCTTCTGTCCACACTGCATCACTCAGGCCTCCAGGTTGCGGAAGGTCAGCCCTCAGAAACGAGTGTGAGCACCACAGCCTCGTCCGCATGGGAACAGCATCCGTGGAGGATGGACTGGTGGACGAGCGCCCGCAGGGACCTGTTAGGCAGCTGTGGCAGCAGCCCCTGGAGCTGCAGCAGCACCGCCTGGAGAGAAACAGCTCTAGGGGCACTGCTGTCCCAGGTGCTGAGAACCCAGCAAGAGTGAACCGTTTGTTCTGTTAGGATATTAACAAATCCCTGATTTCATGAAATCATAATTTACCCAACAGACCTTTCATACACAGTCAAGTAAAAATGTCAACCCAAATGATCACAATTCCAAATTCAGAGTTTTTTGATAAATTATTCTGTGTGGGTATAAAATGTAAATATATTTGCAGTTTAAAGATACACTGATGTCACTCATTTAGCAAAGCCCGCGTCGTGTCCTGCCTCAGACAGCTCGCCAGCTGGTTCATGAAGCTAATGACCTGCGCTCACTGCTCAGGCACCGCGGAGCGAACCCCCTCCCCGCACCCGCCGACCTGGCCGCGGGGGCGCACCAGCCCGCCCTGCGCCGCCCCACAGCTGGCCTTGGCAGCGCTGCCGGGTCTCAAAGTGCGGCGATGCCCACCCAAAGCAGAGGGAAGACTGTGGGCGTGGGCGTGCCCGTGTCCCAGCTCCGTGACTGGGGACCTGCCAAGCCACGTGCCCTGCACAGTCCCCGGTTTCCCGGAGGAAAGAGCGAGGAGGGAGGGGCAGCACGGAGGCTAGTCACCTCCCCGCAGAGAACACTGGCAGCGAGGGAGCAATGAGCGAGGAGGTGCCGGCAGGCTCGGCCTTCACCTTCCCGCTGGCTGTGACCTTGGGCGGTCCCTGAAGCGGCGAGGGGTTTCTTCGCAGGGTGAGAGCTTCCCAGGTGTGGGAGGAAAGCCAGCGTCAGACCTCCTTTGCCCGCCTGACGGCGTTGGAGCGAGGAGGGAGGCCTGCCAGGTGCCTCGGGAGCCTGGGCAAAGGGGGGGGGAGAGCAGGGGCTGCCCCCCAGGAGTGGGGGGTGGGGATGCGCCGGACAGCGGCAGCGCTGCATCCTCAAGGTCGCAGTCTAGAGGCGGGAGGTCTCCGAGTGAGGCGCAGCGGGTCAGAATCTGCCCTCCCAGCACATGCCACTCTGGCATAAGAATTCCTTTAATCTGTTCTAGAAAAAATTAGAGCAACTAAGAATCGACCCGTGCAGAAGGAAACCTTCTAGGAGTTTTCCTTCGCTGACCACAAGCAGGAACTTCGGAGAAATGAGACCTGCCACACATCCCCTCTTCCTGGGGGGCTTGGCATGAGGAAGACAGACAGCACCAAGAAGGGTCTGCACATAGCCCTTATACAATAGCCTTTATACAATAGCCCTTACATGATAGCCCTTATATGATAGCCCTTATAATAGCCCTTGTACAATAGCCCTTATACCAGGGGTCCTCAAACTTTTTAAACAGGGGGCCAGTTCACTGTCCCTCAGACCGTTGGAGGGCCGGACTATAGTTTAAAAAAAAACTATGAACAAATTCCTATGCACACTACACATATCTTATTTTGAAGTAAAAGAACAAAACAGGAACAAATACAATATTTGTATTTGCATGTGGCCCGCGGGCCGTGGTTTGAGGACCCCTACCTTATACGATAGCCCTTGCATGATAGCCCTTATACAATAGCCCTTGCGTGATAGCTCTTATATGAAAGCCCTTATACAATAGCCTTATACAATATTCCTTATACAAGAGCCCTACTCATGCATTCACTTCCACATACTCCCTAGTCACCTTCTCATAGTTTACTGCCCCAGACCAAACTCCTTTCCCTTTGTCTTGTCACATCTCCGCATTTACTATTTTTTTGTTAAAAAGGTATAAAAAATCTCGGACCTAAGTGCTTCCTCCCTGTGTATTTGTAACAACTGCAGGGCCCCAGTCACTGAACCTGAGAGGGCAGAGGGAAACGCCCTCCCTTCCTCACAGCGCTGTTGTGTACAGAGCCACTCGGATCCTGGCACAGGGCAAGGTGAGTAACCAGGGCTTACCTTCCAGCTCCCAGGTCCTCCCGAGGCCTGAGGCCTGGACTCGGGGCTCCCACCCCTGCCTCAGCAGAGCCACTTGGTGGGCTTTAACACCATTCCCACACCAGGGTACTAAACCAGACATCCCAGTGAGAATCTCTGAGGGGGGCGCCAGCAACCGTGTTGTTGAAGCCTCCAGGAGATGGGCTGTGCGGCAGCGGAGACGCACAGCAGCCCAGCCTCCCCGAGCTCCTGGTTTCATTGAGAAGTGCGGTGCCTATGCCGCGGCCCAGCCTTTACAGGGCATCTCCCTCTGTCCTCACGGAAATCCCGGGTGTGTACGTTACAAATGAGGCTCCGAGAAGTTAGATGAAATTCAAACATTAAAAAGAGCCAGGAAATGGCAAGGCAAAACTTGAACTCGGGGCTCTCTGCGCTCAGCCTCAGACACCTGGAGTGTCTGTGTTTGCTGTGCTTTCAAATAAATTGTTGCTGCTCCATCTAAGTGTTCTAGGTTCACACCCTCCCCCCTGGCTGCTCCTGCCTCATCCTCCAGAAATGCTAACGGACCCATCCCAGAATCGCTGCTGGGAAATGCTGTCACCGTGCTTCTGGCCGTGTGCGATGTTCTTTCCCCGGCTGCAATAAACAGCCTCTCCTTGTCCTTCAATGTCCAATGGCACCTCCCTTAAGGGACATAGTGCAGCTACCCCGTCATCTCCGCCAAGAGGCAGCAGAGTGTGGGATCAGTAGGAATATAGACTCAAGAGCTAGAACACCCTCACCAGGTGTGTGACCTTATGTAAGTTATCCCTGCCTCACTTGAACCTTCCACAAAATGTGATCATACCTATCGTATAGTGCTGCTAAGGGGCTCAAAAGTTAACACAGGTCAGCACTGAGCAGAACATCAGGTCTCTGACTCAGTCAGTGTTCCTGACACACGCCAGCCACCGGACTAGCACTGTGTACTGTCTTCCTTCCTTTCATCTCCACCTCACTTCTTGACTATGAATTCCTTAAGGCAAACACTCAGTCTTATTCATCTGTCTAACCCTAGGGGAAGCTCTATGCTCACTAAAATGTGAATGAGTGAATAATCAGTAATGTATCACTCAGTTCCCACTGAAATCTCAAGGTATACAGCCAAAGCCGGTGGAATAGTTAATAGCTATGGAACAGAATGAAGCTAACTCATTCAAAACAGAAATGCATCACGATCTTGACCTCATGCAACTATTGTAACAGTTGGAGAGCCTTTATCATTTAATCTCTACTAGGGAAAACCAGGTGCTTGGAAGAACTGAGGAATCGGTGATGAGATGCTGTCACCAAGGTACCAAGTCAGAGAGCTGAGGCCTGACCATGCTCCTGAATAACCAGCACAGGGGAGCAAGCCGAGAAGATCAGGAATTTCAGTTAAGTGTTCCTACCAGCTCTGAAAATGCCAGGAGAGAGACACATTTCCCCATCCACCGGCTCCCTCTAAAAAAATCTTATCTGTCCCTGGGGAGCCCTGTTATCCTTTATATCAACCAATGGAAAGGACATTTGGAGGACGCTTTATCCAATGCTTCTTTAACATTAGATTTAAACCTGCTCACCCACAGCTTTTTTAGACACAATTGAAAATAAACATTGCAAAGTCTTGCTCACTGAGCTGTAAGTATTCTGTTGTGAGTCTTCATTTTTATACCAGGATTTGTCTCTGTAAGTTTCTAACACCCTAGAAATCACATTTCTTCAGGGGATTTTATGCTGTTTTATAGCAACCTGCATCCAGGTTGCATTCCTTCTTGAGGGACAAGACCAAAAGTAGGTTCTACCACTTCTGCATCAGAAGAGCTAGTTTAGAAATTCCATGGCCTAGAATGGTTTGGTATTTCCCCCTCTGCTTGTCATAAAACACCCAACAAAAGAATGATTGACAACTAAATTGAATTCCACTCTTTCATCCACCTATATTCAAATTTGTGATTGATTGAAAAAAATCTACCTTATGTCAGGCACTGTGCTAGGTATGCACTTATTGTTGATATGACATAGACAAGTACAATGTGCACCATCAACAGTCTACTAGGAGAGGAATAATACACAATCAGATGACTATAGCTACGCCAAGTGCAAGGAGAAAACTATGTATATTACCCAAGAACAGAGAAAGGGTACTTGACCCAATCTTGGCATGCTACTAATGGCTTCTTGGAGGAGGTGATTCTTAAAAGGGAGAACAGAAATGTAGGAAATGAGGCAGAGAGGAGAAAGCACAGCAGGGAAGCCATGGAGGGCAGCGGCATGTGTGGGCGGTGGACAGGCGGAAAGCGTTAGTGTTAGAGGAAGTGGCCAGAGGGGGAAGGTCATGGCGGTCCTCGTAGGTCGTTTCCATTGGAACAATCCCCCCCATGCTGTATGAAACTTTTCTATAAATCATGAATCACAATAACTGAAATTCATATTGGCTTTTTATCCATGTGGAGCTTCAATCTATCAATATTCAAACCATTGGCAACATGTTTGCAGTCCGGGTTATTTTTTGGGGGGGAGGGGGATATTTCAGTGAGAAAGAAATACAAATAGAAAACAGAAAAACACATATTCCATTTTTGCTTATAGAAGTTTATATTTCCTAATATATTTTTAAAGGGGTAAAATACTATGAGATAAAGCCACCAAAATAATCTGACAGTTCTTCACAGTAACTGCCCTGCCTTGTGGGGACAATGAAATGGGCAAAGAAACCTTATCAAAGAATTGGAATGAAAAAGAAAGGAACCAAACACGTTTCTAGGAAGAAAATAAAGGTATTACGATGAGAGTAACCATCAGCTGCTGGGGCGAGAGGGCCGTACCAGCAAGTAATGGCCTGTCCCTGGCAGCGACTGCCTTAAAGAATGCTCGCCCAGCTCCTGCGTAATGTGGGTGTGAGCCCCGCACGCAAGGAGTGCTAGCTCAGCCCATGTAAGATGAGTGTCTCATGGGGACAGACAAGATCGCTGGGACACAGCTGGCATCTCTGGCAGGGCAAACATGCCTCGTTTATTCCAGAACAAACGTTCTCACTTCGCTTATTCACAACAGATTGAGAGTCATGATTTCCCACTTTTCAGGAAACGTGATCCTTGGTGCTCAAAGTCAGTATTCACCAAGTACAGTACCTAAAGCCTTCCCGGGCCCTTCCATGAACTTGGCCTCTTCCAGGAATCAGCCTCCTGGCAGCCTTGAAGTCACACTGACCTGTCAGCGATTTGCTGTGTGTTCTTGGGAAGTGAGTCATGTAAATAGCATGTAAATAGCCTTCCTAAGTCTCTGCCTGTTTCTTGACACAAGTCCCAGAAGGTACTGCTAACTCTCCTGGTGAGAGTCCCAGCAAGTGGTGAGCGATATTTCCCTCTGACCATGAACGGAACTTCCAGGTCTCTTCTCGCAAGGAGCAGCTTTCTAACACTGCCCATTTTAATGAAAGTCACTGAAAAGATCAAACAGCATTCCCATAGCTACCCTGTACATGGTCGAGTGGCTTATTTGTTTTTGTTGTCGTTTTAATCCTCACCTGAGAATATGTTTTATTGGTTTTTAGAGAGAGAGGAAGGGGGAGAGAGGGAGAGAGAGAAACATCGATGTGAGAGAGAACATCAATCAGTTACCACCCATACATGCTCCAATTGGGCTCAAACCTGCAACCTAAGTACATGCCCTGTCCAGAATTGAACCTGCAACATTTTGGTGTACAGGATGATGCTCCAACCAACTGAGACACCCGGCTGGAGCATGATTTGGTTTTATTTATTTATTTGCAGTGCGAGGACACCTCTTTAGCTACTCAACATAAGGTGTTACAGCAAATACCGGCCCCAGTGCATGATGACAGCGGTTGCTCTGGAAACAAGTTAACATTTTGACTTCCATAAAATGTTTTGCTCCCCTTAACAACACTGAACCAACACTTTGTTGATGTGAATAATAGACTTGGCTACTCCAAGACTGGAAGCAATGAATTTGAGTGCTAGGAAGAACACTATTGAAATCTATCATATTTTTAAAATAACTATATTTAAAAGTCACTTTAATTTTAGTTCCATACCCCCAAACTAGTTTGTAAAGAGTAATAAATAGTAAAAGAAAAACTGATATTGACTCATCATACCAAAACTAAATAGTAAAATAAAAGGACTTACCAATTCTCCTCTAATTAACAAGTAGATTTTGTTTGAAAGTATATATTGCTTGTTAGGTACATGAAACAATTTCCCCTATAGTGTAATCAAGAAGGTGATTGAAAATTTAGACAGCTCATTGCAAAGCTCTACCTTTGCGTTGAGAAACCTAGACAATCTCAGATTCATCAGCTTTCAACTGGTGGCAATAAACTCTAGCTCACAGTGCTGTCACCAAGATCCAAGGGGGCAATATGTGCACAGCAGGTGGGCCTGCACAATGACTGCTCACAATAGGAGCTGGCATATGCGCCCATCAATCCACTCAATTTGTAATAAAAATGAAGTAAGCCACTTTGTTGTGACATGAGTGATTTGTAAGATCAAAAATAAATGTCTCCTTTTAGACAGTTGCCAATAGGTTAGTAGGTTTTGATCCAAAAGCTTACATTCCATATTCACAGGGTGTCTTCCACTTAACATGTCCCAAAACCACCTCTTTAAAGTCAGCCTTCCCCGTCTCTAATTATAGCAACTCCATCCGCCCGTTGGTAAGGATAAAAAAGGGTCATCACTGCCTGTTCTTTCCCTCACTCCCTACACCCAGCCCATTAGCAAGTCTGGCCAACTGCTCTTCAGAATGTGACCAGGTCCTGTGAGCTTCTGCCTCCAGGAAGATGAAGCAGCCACACTTGCCCTGTTGTTTCTTTTATTCACAACCGAAAGCCCTGGAGATTATCCATGAAATAAAGAGAAGATCCGAATGATGAAGAGAAGGGGCAGACCAATTAGGGACCTTGGAACCCAAGGAATGATACGGTGGTGAGTTACCTGGGATTTCTTTTGGCCTCATTTATCTCATACTGAAGTTAGAGGAGTCAGACATTGACACCAAAAACCTGGTTTATTTAGACCAACCCCCATGAAAAGGGCAGCATATCAACACAGAAAACATTTATGTGATAACTGCTCACTGCAGTCAAACACCACAGGAGAAAACTTCAACAAAGTCTGAGTGGAGGGTCTAGTTCCACCCTCAGCAGACCATAGGGAACATGCCAGCACCCCCTGCAGGGGTGGTGTCAGAGAAGGAAGGGGGTGGGACTTTCATCACTACCAGGTATCAGTGGAAATGAAAAGCCAGCAACTAAGAAATGCCAACAATCACAGACCGCCCCCCCCCCATAAAAGCCCCAATAAAACTATTTAACCAAAAGATTAAGGGGTCACCAAACAAGGCAGAAAACTTTTAGAAAATAACTACTCTATACTGGTAAAACATTACAGAATAAAGCAGTGGCCCTCAATTGCACTCAGATCAGCAAAGACCTAGAGCAGAGGCTAGACTTCAACCCTTAATAGGCTATAACAAGGTGCTCCCTACACCACCACCAAACATGCACACAAGGATATGGCAGAAAAGGCTGAATAAGGAATCAGGACTTTCATCTATGCAGGGGTAATGAAGCCACCATTCACAGAAACAGTAGAAACCACGTGCAGAGCTGGACTTCCATGCCTACAAAATGGAAATGAGGCAACCCTGCCCTATTGGGGGTTTCTGAGGAAGCCTCATAGAGAGTAAAAACGTTCACCACCACCCAGTAGTAATGGGGCCACCCCTGGATACTCACCATGTCAGTGGAAGCCATAGTAGAAGCTGTAATGATCCAAGCCTCAGCCTACTGGCCAGGATGGTATCAATGGAATCATAGTAGGAAGCCAAAATTCTCATCATTACCCAGCAGTACCAAGAAGGGCTCCACACCCTGGCTGGTTTGACTCAGCTGTTAGAACATCAAACCACAGCCTGAAGGGTTATGGGTTTGATTCCCAGTCAAGGGCATATACCTCTGTTGCAGGTCCAATCCCTGGCCTTGGTCAGGACATGTGCTGGAGGCAACCAATCAATAAGTCTCTCACACGATGTGTCTCTCCTCCTCCCTCCCTTCCTTCCACTCTCTCTAAAAATCAATGGAAAAAAATAGCTTCAGGAGAGGATTAAAAAAGAAGAAGAAGTGTGCCGTGCCAGCATGGCCAAGGGTGAACCTGAGGAGAGGCGGTGAAGGATTGAAGAAAAGACAGACAAGAGAATACAGCTGGGGCTCGGTGGATCTCCCGTGTCTGGATGAGGACACGAAAGACCCAGCTTGCAAGCTGATGCTTTCTTTTATAGTCTGATTAAAACGAGGGTAGCCATGGCCGGTTTGGCTCAGTGGATGGAGCGTCAGTCTGCGGACTGAAGATCCCGGGTTTGATTCCGGTCAGGGGCATGTACCTTGGTTGTGGGCACACCCCCAGGGGGGGGTGTGCAGGAGGCAGCTGATCGATGTTTCACTCTCATCGATGTTTCTAACTCTCTATCTCTCTCCCTTCCTCCCTGTAAAAAAATCAATAAAATATATTTAAAAAACAAAACAAGGGTAGATGAACATGTATACAAATGTTCTTGTTTTGGCAACACTTGCTGCACCTCCCACAGCCCATTAGGAACTTAGGAAGGAATTGGGGAGGG